ATGGGATTCCAGCCCCGGTGGTACAAGGGAACCCACCCCGGGGAGGGACTCCGGGGGACAGCCGCTTTCCATCCCCTCCCGGGCATGCACGGTAGCTCTGCCTCGAGCACAGCCCCGGGCTGGAACGCTCTGAGCAGTCTCTACGTCGGCACCTGGTCCCCGAAGTCTCCTCACGCCGCTCCTCCCTGCTGGCTCTGGGCCAATCGGGCTCTGGCCGTCAAGTTTTGGCGAGTGTGGGAAGGGACTAACAGGGGTCAGGATTGAGAGTGACAGCCTTGGAGCACAGAGCTGGAGTTCAGCACCAGGGTCAGGCTGGCTGGAGGAGCTGGGGGTCTGATGGAGCTGGGGCAGTGTCTCAGCAGCAGCACTGTCAGAGCCCCGGAGGTTGTGCCCACTCACTGTCTGCCTTCCCCAGTGCTAAAATTGCTCATGGGTTGAAAATCAAGCCTCTCTCCTGAGGAAGCCCTGTGTGTGGTGATTCAGCCACACGCTGGCACCACCCGGACGGGCTCCAGGCTGGGTCAGGGAAGCACTGGGACATCGCTCAAGGTTGGGGCCTGGGCAAGCCCTGACTCAGCAGCAGCTCTGTTTACCTGGGCTGGTGCAACCCCTTCTTGGGAGGGTGACCTCTTTGTTGTCTAGTTTGAGCTTCTTTCATGTGAGGGTCCTTGGGGAGCAGTCCAGCCAGCGCTCAAGGTGAGCAGAGAGGCAAAAGGACAAGAGCAGGGCATAAAACCCTGTCATTTGCTCTCTGCAGCCAAGCAACGTCCCTGGAGGATGATGAGGGGCTCTGGCATCATCCCATCATCCCATTCCCTGGTGCTGAATACTCATGTCCTGCCCGGGGTCCGTGGTGCTTCCCAGGGCTCAGCATGGCCTGGGCTCCTCTTTCTGTTCCCTTTCGGGGTCTGAGACCTGCAGAGCAGGTCAGTCCTGCCTTGTGGGCACAGCCTGGCTCTGTGCTCCACTTGGGACCCTTCCTCTGCTGCTCAGTTAATCCTGGCATCGACCACTCTATCTGAGCCCGTGGTTCTTCCTCAGCTTTCTTAGCTAATGGCTGTGTCTGCCTTGCATTGATCCTCAGCTGCAGAGCTCATTGATTAAGTACATTTCTTATTACACTTAATGGTATTTTACCCCTCTCTGTGCTTCCCTTGTGCCAGATGCTCACCCTGTGCCTGCTGGGAGGAGAATTCCTCTGCCCAGAGAAACGTCCCCACTCTGTGCTGGCCCTGCTCTC